AAAAAAATAATAAAAATAAATAAAAGAATTCCTTACCTACTGAAGTTCATGAAGAAGAATTTTCTTTGTCCTGTTAATTGCTCACAGATTTATTGTCTCATTGTCTAGAAACATAAAAAACTACCTGTCCTAGTCATTTCCTTGGGTCTGAATTTTGTTATTGGGCTTCCCTGCACATGTAATTAACTTGGCTTTTTTTCCTGTTAATCTGTCTCATGTCAATTTTATTCTTACACTAGCTTAAAGAATTTTAAATGGTACAGGAAAATTTTCCTCCCCAACACTGTCACATTGGCCTTCTCCATTCTCCAAAGTTGAGGTATTTCACCTAGTAAGACTACCTCGTTCTCAAGAGGTGACCTTACCTGAAATGATTCTTACTTTTCTTTTGCCAATTGTCCCACTCCATTTCTGCTTATAAAAACCTTCATTTTTAAATATTTTAAATTTTTTAAAAAGATTTTATTTATTTGACAGAGAGATCACAAGTAGGCAGGGAGGCAGGCAGAAAGAAGAGGGGGAAGCAAGCTCCCCGCTGAGCAGAGAGCCCAACACAGGCCTCGATTCCAGGACCCCGAGACCTTGACCTGAGCCGAAGGCAGAGGCTTTAACCCACTGAGCCACCCAGGAGCCCCTAAAAACCTTCCTTTTGTGTAGCTCCTTGGAGTTCCTTTCTTTTGCTGGATGGGATGCTGAAGGATTTATGAATTACTTAACAAAGCCAATTAGATCTTTAATTTTGCTCAGTTGATTTTTTCCCCTAAGTCTCTAATCCATAACAGTCTGCAACAGTTTTATGCCTCTCTTTCTCTTTTTTTTTTTTTTTTTTTAAAGATTTTATTTATTGGGGCACCTGGGTGGCTCAGTCGGTTAAGCATCTTGCCTTTGGCTCAGGTCATGATCCCAGGGTCCTGGGATCAAGTCCCGCATCAGGCTCCTTGCTCAGCAAGGAGCCTGCTTTTCCCTCTCCCTCTGCCTGCCCCTTCCCTTGTTTGTACTCCCTCTCTCTGTCAAATAAATGAATGAAACTTAAAAAAAGTGGGGGGTGGCTGGCTTGGTGGCTCAGTCGCTTAAGTGGTGAAGCATCTGCCTTTGGCTCAGGTCATGATCCCAGGGTACTGGGATGGAGCCCTGCACTGGGCTCCCTGTTCAATGAGGAGGCTACTTTTTCCTCTCTCTCTCTGCCTGCTGCTCCCCCTACTGTGCTCTCTCTCTCTCTCTCTGTGTCAAATAAATAAATAAATAAATAAATATTAAATTTAATTAAAGTAAATAAATAAAAAATAAATAAAAAATTTAAAAAAGGATTTTATTTTTTTGAGAGAGAGAGAGAACATCAACAGGGGGAGGGGCAGAGGGAGAAGCAAGCTTCTCACTCAGCATGGAGCTTGATGCAGATGGATGGATTCCAGGACTCCAGGATCATGACCATTACCAGAGCTGAAGGCAGCCACTTAAATGACTGAGCCACCTGGGTAACTCCCTCTTCTTTTAAAGTAAGCTCTCTGCCCAATGTGGGGCTCCAACTCGCAGTCCCAACATCAAGAGTTGTTGTTCTAATGACAGAGCTAGCCAAGTGCCTCGATGTCTCTATTCTTTATTAACTTTTTTTGGAGATAGAAGATCATTTGTATAAATTCTATATAACACAGAACATAGAGCACCTGGGTGGCTCAGTCAGTTAAGCATCTGCCTTCGGCTCAGGTCAAAATCCCAGAGTCCTGGGATCAAGCCCCACATTGGACTCCCTGCTCAGCAGGGAATCTGCTTCTCTCTATGCCCCTCATCCCGCTCATGCTCTCTCTCTCTCAAATAAATAAATAAAATCTTTTTTTAATTTTAAAAAGATTTTATTTATTTATTTGACGGAGAGAGAAATCACAAGTAGGCAGAGAGGCAGGCAGAGAGAGGAGGGAAGCAGGCTTCCCGCTGAGCAGAGAGCCTGATGTGGGGCTCGATCCCAGGACCCTGAGATCATGACCCGAGCTGAAGGCAGAGGCTTAACCCACTGAGCCACCCAGGTGCCCCAATAAATAAAATCTTAAAAAAAAAGAATACAGAATGTAACTGTTTGCATACTTGTAGTCCAACTCCTAGTCAATTTAAAAAACAATTTTCCCAGCAGGACTTGCAAGATTAGAGGTATGAAAAGTTTTTATTTATTAGATTGATCCTCTAATGCAGCACATCTTGAGAATATTCAAGGACTGGGACACTTTAATATGCTTGAATGCCTTCCCTACCACTTGTTGCTGTAATATCTAGGAACGGGCCATTTGCTTGTCACTTTTCTTTTCTACCTTTAGAACCCTACTTAAGGGTGGACTGCTTAGGGTCACTTCCTGACTCGATTCTCCCACTTCAGCTTGTGAGAATCCCACTTTCCTTCAGAGTTCCTGCCATCCTATCCTATGCCTAACCACGTGGAGCTGGAATTGTCTGTCTCTTGTTCTGCAAGGAACTCTCTTTTGAGAACTGTTTTTTTTGTTTGTTTTTTTTTTTTGGTTTTTTTTTTTGAGAACTGGTTTATTCTGTACCTGGAAGTTAGAGGGAATGCAGGGCAGCACTGCTTCATGCTTAAAGAGTGGTCTGTTGACTGAGTTATGAATTCCTCCATACCACCCATCACTGCTCCTCCCACTCCCACCTCTACATATTCTTTTAGGGGGGTATATATACCCCCACATATCCTGGTGTTAAAAACAAGACCACCATAAAATGGTGTCACTTATGTTTAGCCCCACATCACCAAAAGAAGACTTAAGGTAACTGTAATTTGGGTTCTCCCAGAAATGGGATCTTACACCAATCAATCAGTAAATCACCTAATCAGTACTAGTTAGGTAATTTGCCTGATAGACCCCCTGCCATCTTCTAAAGCAAAGTGACTTTGCCATAACAATCTACCTTTTTGTCTAGTATAACTTCCTTATTCTCACTCCTATCTGCCTATAAAACTCTTTCATTTTAAAACTTTATTTTTTAAGTCATCTCTTTGCCCAATGTGGAGCTCAAACTCATGACCCAGAGATCAAGAGTTGCATGCTCTAAAGGGAGCCAGGAGACCCAATATTTTAAGATTCTTGATTCATATTGCCATATTATTTCCCAGAAGTTAGAAGACCACTTGTTTGGAAGTTGTATTCTAAACTTCATATAAATGGGATCATTTAGTGTTCTTTTTTGAGCCAACTCAACAGTGTTTGTGATATGCATCCAAATTGTTGTCTTTTTCAGTCATTATTTCCCATGGGTGGGTAGTAGTTCACTGTAGAACCACAATACAATTCATTTACTGGCACAACTACTGATTTGGGTTACCAGTGATTGATTACTCTGATCAAAGCTGCTATGAGGGCCACCTGGGTGGCTCAGTGGGTTAAGCCTCTGCCTTCGGCTCAGGTCATGATCTCAGGGTCCTGGGATCGAGTTCCGCATCCTCCTCTCTCTCTCTCTCTGCCTGCCTCTCTGCCTACTTGTGATCTCTGTCTGTCAAATAAATAAATAAAATCTTTAAAAAAAAAAAACCACTGTCATGAACACTCTTTAAAAAAAAAAATATTTTATTTATTTATTTGACAGACAGATCACAAGTAGGCAGAGAGGTAGGCAGAGAGGCAGGCAGAGAAAGGAAGGGAAGCAGGCTCTCCGCCGAGCAAAGAGCCTGATTCGGGGCTTGATTCCAGGGCCCTGAGATCATGACCTGAGCTGAAGGCAGAGGCTTTAACCCACTGAGCTACCCAGGCACCCCACGAATACTCTTGTACAAGCCGTGGGTAGATGTATGCACTCATTCCATTTGGAGGGAATTGCTGGGTCGCAGGGTGAGTAAGACTTAGCTCTGACAAGCACTGTTAAACAGTTTTCCAAAGTGGCTGTACTACTGGGTACAGTTTTTACAACCTGGTCTGACTGAGAGGAAAGGAGATAACCTACCGGCGCGATTTGCATCAAGTAACGTAAGCAACTGGCGCCTGGGTGGCTCTCTGCTCAGCCGGTAGCCTGTTCCCCGTCCCCGCCCCCTCGCCTGCCTCTCGGCCTACTTGTGATCTCTGTCAAATAAATAAATAAAATCTTAAAAAAAAAAAAAAGTAATGTAAGCAACTTCGTGCTTGACTAAGCTGGGTGCTTTCATTTAAAAGCTCAAAATACGAAAACAAAACAAAACAAAAAACCCCAAAAATAAAAGCTCAAAATACGGTCAGGCCTCAATTTCATAGACTCGGCAAAGCCAAGTGCCTTGCCCACAATTTCATTGTTGGGGGGTGGGGGGGAGGTGTCTTGGCCACATACTGTAAGTGCCGCATCAACCCGGAAGAAATTTCTATAATCTACTTATTTATTTGACAGAAGCACAAGCGGGCAGAGCGGCAGGCAGAAGGAAAGGGAAATGCCGGTTCCCGCTGAGCAGGGAGCCCCAGGCGGGGGTCCATCCCAGGACAACCCGGATCGGGTCATGGTCCGAACTGAAGGCAGCCGCTCAACCAGCCAGAGCCACCCAGGCACCCCCTCAGCAAATTTTTCGTTTTTAAGATTTTATTTTTATTTATTTGACAGAGAGAGAGAGAGATCACAGGTAGGCCGAGAGACAGGCAGAGAGAGCAGGGGAAGCAGGCTCCCCACTGAGAAGAGAGCCCGATGTGGGGCTGGATCCCAAGACCCTGAGATCATGACCTGAGCCGAAGGCAGAGGCTTAACCCACTGAGCCACCCAGGCGCCCCACCTGAGCAAATTTCTTATTCAAACTTTAAAACGGGGGTGTTTCTGAGAGCATTAAGTTTAGGTCACAGTGTGAAGAAAGCACGACAAACCGTCCTGGCCTCCAACCTGCTGCGCGGATTTCCTCTCAGCGGGAACAAAGGAAGCTCTTCCTCAGGCGGCTTGGGGTATCTGGCCGAGTCCCGCCCCTCACCTAAGCCCCTGCGCAGATTGAGGCCGACGGAGCTAAGAGCCAGGCGCGCATGACGTATAACGACCGACGGTGCGTGATGACGCCAGGGCGTGCGGTCGGTGGCTCGTAGGGGAAGATGGCGGCTGCTCCTTTGGAAGAGAGGGATTGAGACGGGTGGAGGGAAAAGGCCAGGCGGGAGAGACGTTCTCGACAGTGAAGACAAACCCTTCGCACACGATTCATTAGGAGCTCTGCTCAGCGCCGGAGGGTGAGTGCAGCGGCGGCACGGGACCCTTCGCCTGCAGCAGGCGGCGGCACTTTCCGCCATTTTCAAGCTCGGCCGTTGCGTGCTTTGGGGGCCTGGAGGGGCGCCTGGGGACAGGTTGGGAGAACGAGGACGATCGTCGTCGGGAGGGCCTATTGAGGCTAGTTCGAGCTTTAGGGGAGGGAGCTGGAGGCTTGAGGCAGAGCGGGGAAGGAGGGCAGGGTAGGACTAAGGCTCCTGACTGGGAACCGGTGGCGACAAGAAGACGTAGGTAGTGTAGGCCACGGATAAGACGTAAAGTTTGGAGAAGGGAAACGCGTTAAACATTTGGGGCGGGAGTGGAAGGGGTTGAGCCGAGAGTTGAATGGTACGTGGCTTTGGTTGGTTCAAGGGGTCTCGGGAAGTGATTGCGAAATCTGTGAAACAGCGGGAGGTTTAGCCTTGATATTATCGTGGCTTGAAATTGGTGTTTTTAACAGGGATGAGTCCACAGTTTGACAAGCAAAAACCCTCCTCCTTTGGAAAAGTTACATTTCTGTTTTGTTTGCTTTAGATCATGCTACCTGTCAGTGTCCCTTCAACAACTCCCTCCACATCTCCGGTTTTAAATTGCTTTCTGATAACCAGATATTTTAGGATCTTAGAAAACTTTATTTTTTTTTTTTTAGAAAAGAAAATAAATATTGATACTAGGTTGTTGTAACCCTTGTGGTTAGTGGCCCTTCCGTGGAAAGAGGAAGGTTGGTCTATAGGGAATTCCGTAATTGGATCAATTTAAATCAGATCATAAAAGTTACTTGTAGAAAGCCTGTCAATGTTTTCAAGTAATTTATGCACATATGACGTTACGTTAACTGTTCAGGAACTTAGGAAGACGTTCGAGTATGAACAAAAAAGCCCGGGGAATACCTCTTGAGAGCGCTGAGTTGACTTTTAAGTACGCTCTGGAAATCTGGGGCGTGCAGTATATTTTACCTGTGAGCGTGGTGCGGTGGCAGGTCTATTTAATTCAAACAAAACTTTTAGAGACTTAGTTAAAAGGAACCATATTAATTGTTCCCATGGTGGCATTTTTCTTTTCCTAATCTTAATTGCATCTGACATCCATTTTTAATCACCATAAGATACTTTTTGCTCCCCCCCCTTTTTTTTTAAAGATTTTATTTATTTATTTGACAGACAGAGATCACAAGTAGGCAGAGAGGCAGGCAGAGAGAGAGAGGAGGAAGCAGGCTCCCCACTGAGCAGAGAGCCCGATGTGGGGCTTGATTCCAGGACCCTGGGATCATGATCCAAGCCGAAGGCAGAGGCTTTAACCCACTGAGCCACCCAGGCGCCCCAACTTTTTGCCCTTTTTAATGGTCTCTTTGCCTAAAAGATGAAATACTGTATCGATTTGAGTTTGTGCAGAGGTTTGAAGTTACATATTTAGCATATTTTATTGGAATTTACAGAAAAATTTTATCTTTCTGTACTAGTGGTAAGAGTATTGGTAGGAAGTTGGCCTTATATCACAATGAGTTAGTTACAAATAAATTCCTATCTATGATGCTGATGACTTAACTTGCATTCTTTGGTGAAAAATATTAAAAGGTCAGATTTTGCCATCTCAGTTGTATCTTGACCTACGGCTTTAATTACACTTTTACTAACCACTTAAGGTGCTTATTCATAGTTCTCTTTGCTAAGTAGTGTCCACATTTTTCACATTACTTTGGGAAAACATGTTATTTATTGCCCACATTCAGACTGTTTCGTATTTCTGAATAAGGAAGTAAGGTCATAATAAAGCATGCTTGCTTTCTTTCTAAAGATTTTATTTATTTGACTTTTTTTTAAATTTTATTTAGTTATTTGACAGAGATCACAAGTAGGCAGAGAAGCAGGCAGAGAGAGAGGAGGAAGCAGGCTCCCTGCTGAGCAGAGGGCTTGATGTTGGGCTCGATCCCAGGACCCTGAGGTCATGACCCAAGCCAAAGGCAGAGGCTTTAACCCACTGAGCCACCAGGCGTCCCTGACTTTTTTTTTTTTTTTTTAAATTTTATTCATTTATTTGACAGATCACAAGTAGGCAGAGAGGCAGGCAGAGAGAGAGGAGGAAGCAGGCTCCCCGCTGAGCAGAGAGCCGGATGCGGGGCTTGATCCCAGGACCCTGGGATCATGACCTGAGCTGAAGGCAGAGGCTAGATTTTATTTATTTGAGAGAGAGAGTGCACGAAGTGGGGGTGGGGGGTAGAGGGAGAAGCTCACTCCCCAGTGAGCAGGGAGTGGAAGGCAGAAGCTTAACTTGCTGAGCTATCCAGGTACCCCCATAGTAAAGCTTTAAAACTACAACCTATATATTGACAGAAATACTAGTGAAAGTCTTTCACTTACAAATATACATACGGAGTCCTTTTGAGATTGCTTAGCAAAAAATTAGGACCTTTGCAACTGTTTTTAGATAAAGTATTTGTAGTCTGCAGATTAGAAATCTTCATTACCAAAGTAAATTTACTTAAATTCATAAACTTAACACTTGTTTACGCATTTCAGATTTGTTGTAAAATTCTGGATTTTCCTTAATTTTCTGTCAAACATTATTCCAAGATTTTATTTGTTGAAACATTTCTTTTTTTAAAGATTTTATTTATTAGAGAGAGAGAGACCCCACAAGTAGGCAGAGAGTCAGGCAAAGAGAGAGTGGGGGAGGCAGGCTCCCTGCTGAGCAGAGAGCCTGATGCAGGGCTCCATCCCCAAACCCTGAGATCACAACCTGAGCTGAAGGCAGAGGCTTAACCCACTGAGCCTCCCAGGCGCCCCTGTTTGTTGAAACTTTTACTTGTGAGAGGTCTTATATCTGGATTTGTGTGTGTCTGTGTGTGGAATGGTGAAAGTTTCTCTGTTGCTATGATGTGTTGTGTGACAAGTAAGTTGCCAGACCATAGTTTTAATGCTGAAAGATACTTGATCTTTGTCTTTGACAGTGACGTAAGTTAAAACCTTTTCTCCGTGAATACACTCTGGTTGATAACATTTCTGTCCCCATTGCAAAAGACTTACATTAACGTTGGTCTTAGACACAGAAACTCTTAAGTATGTTGGAAAAGTCTTACCTGCATTACTCTCTTCCTTTCTGGTCCTTGAACATTTTATGTAGTATTTTCTGTTGGAGGACTGACTTCATAATGTTTGTATTGTACCTTATATGCATAATTTAAGTGCTTATAAATTCTCAGAGCCTGGTTAGTATTGGAAAGGGGATGGCTTTCAGCAGTAGACAGGCTTAGGTTTGAGTGCCAGGTTCACCACTAGCCAGCCTTTTTTTTTTTTTTTTTTAATTTAATTTATTTATTCACTAGAGGGAGAGAGCTCGTGTGAGCTCAAGCAGGGAGAGCAGCAGAGGGAGAGGGAGAAGCAGGCTCCCCACTGAGCAGGGAACCCTGCAAGGGGCTTGACCCCAGAGCCCTGGGATTATGACCTGAGCCACCCAGTCTCCCCTAGCCAGCTTTTTTATATTGGGTCAGTTAATTAAACTCTGAACTTCAGTTTCCTTATATGTAAAAATGGTAATTATTGTAATAGGATTTCATAGGTGAAAGAAAGTGATAACATAGTAAGCATTTATTAAATTTTGGCATTTTTTCTTTCTGTGACTTGAATTTAATTGGCTAATTCATTTTTCAGGGTTTTTTTTTTTGAGGTATAATTGAAATGTAACATGATATCAGTTCGAGGCATTTGTATATATTGTAATATTTATATATATTGTATATTGTATATATATTTGTATATATTGTAAAATAGATACAATTTGTATATATTGTAAAATGATCAATTAGTGTAGTTTATATCTTTTTTTTTTAAGATTTTATTTATTTATTTGACAGAGACAGAGATCACAAGTAGGCAGAGAGACAGGCAGAGAGACAGGAGGAAGCAGGCTCCCTGCTGAGCAGAGAGCCCAATGCAGGGCTCGATCCCAGGATTCTGGGATCATGACCTGAGCTGAAGGCAGAGGCTTTAACCCGCTCAGCTACCCGGGTGCCCCACCAATTTTTTTCTTGTGGTAACTTAAGATCTACTCAGCATCTTTCATATATGCAATATAGTATTATTAACTATAGTCACGATGTTGTACCTTACATCCCCATGATTGATTTTTTTTATAACTGGAAGTTTCTACCTTTGACCCCCTTTACCTATTTTGCCTCCCCTCCTCCTTTTCAGTTTATTTATTTACTTATTTATTTATTTTATTTTTTTAGATTTTATTTATTTATTTGTCAGAGAGAGAGAGGGAGAGAGAGCGAGCACAGGCAGACAGAATGGCAGGCAGAGGCAGAGGGAGAAGCAGGCTCCCCGCCGAGCAAGGAGCCCGATGTGGGACTCGATCCCAGGACTCTGGGATCATGACCTGAGCCGAAGGCAGCTGCTTAACCAACTGAGCCACCCAGGCGTCCCTCCTTTTCAGTTTTTAAAGTTTAACTCATATCTTTGTTAAAGACTTACAGTCTCATTCCTCTGCTAAACTGTTTCTTTTCTCTGTTATTAAAGCATTTTGTGCATATCTACTTGATGTATTTTGATTGTGTATCTTCTCCACTCCTTTGTGAACTCTTTGAAGGCAGATGCTTTATTGCTTTATATTTTTGTATTTATAAAGCCTAGGCATAGATAGAGTTTTCTGTGAAAATTTTCCTCATGACTACTGGGATTCGTTTTCACACAGATCTGGTTTATTTCTGCTCCTTGGCCTTTACTTAAGACCTCTTGGCTTGCCTCCCCACTCTCAGACCATTTGTATCCTATCCATTCCTCAAAATCCAGGTAAATCTTATCCTATTAATGAGGTCTTCAGTGACTTTATAACTCCTCTCTCCAGTTAACCTAGGGTCTGTGTGACTGCCTTCTGTTACTTTGTGTCCTGTAGTATTTGGCACTATGTCTTACCCATTTTGAGCAGGTCCTTGGACGGTAAGTACTGGCTGAGTTTGTTATGGGCACCTGCTCATTCACTGTCC